ATGTGTACGAAGCAATACTAAAGTATGGGGGAGGAAATGATGCATCTGTAAAGTTTGTGTGTATGTGTGTGTACTTATGTATTTACATATATATGAAATCAGGGAAATTTAAAACTGAATTTAGTACCGAAACCGGTTTGGATTAGTGGATAGAGCATCGGCCTGTGGACTGCAAGGTCCCAGGTTTGATTCTGGTCACGATGTTTCTAACTCTCTATCCCTCTCTCTTCCTCTCTGTAAAAAAAAAAAAAATAAATAAAATAAAATAAATAAATAAATAAATAAATAAATAAATAAATAAATAAAATATATTAAAAAAAATAAAACTGAATTTAGTGGAATGAGGAGATAATTTTCCCTTTTAGAATTTTATTTGTAATTGCTGCTATGAGTTTTGGAACCGTAAGTACATTTTTTCTCCTATATATTAAAAATATTTTTACTGAATTTATTGGGGTGACATCCTATATAATAAAGAGGTAATATGCAGTTTGACCCTCATGCCATCGCATCACAAGATGGCTGCCCCCCTTGGTCACAAGATGGCCAGTGGAGGAGGGCAGTTGGGGAGGACCAGGCCTGCAGGGGAGGGCAGTTGGGGCAATCAGGCCGGCAGGGGAAGGGTTAGAAGGCTATCAGGCTGGCAGGCAGAGTGGTTAGGGGCAATCAGGCAGGTGAGTGGTTAGGGGCCAGAAGTCCCGGATTGTGAGAGGGATGTCCAACAGGGGTGGGACCTAAACCAGCAGTCGGACATCTCCTGAGGGGTCCCAGATTGGAGATGATGCAGGCTGGGCTGAGGGACAACCCCCCAGTGCTCGAATTTTGTGTGCTGGGCCTCTAGTTAGCTAATCAAATTATATAGGTTTCAGGTGTACAATTTTACAATATGGCACCTATATATTGTATTATGTATCAAGATTCCTTCCATCACAATTTATCATCCCTTTACCCTCTTTTACCTCCTCCTACTCCCCAATCTCTTCACTTTTTTCACCCAGCCCCAGAATCGCCTCGTCTCTGACAGTTGTCTCTCTGTTCTCTGTATCTATGGTCTGTTTTATTTTGTTAGTTTATTTTGTTAGTTTGTTCATTAGATTCCACCTATAAATGAGATCATATGATACTTGTCTCTCTCTGACTAGCCTATTTCCCTTAGCATAATACTTTCCAGGTCCATCCGTGCTGCCACAAAAATGTAAGTTTCTTTTTTTAAATGATCAAGTAGTATTCCATTGTTAAATGTACACCAGCTTTTTTTTATCCACTCATCTATTGATGAGCACTTAGACTGCTTCTCAATCTTGGCTATTATAAATCAAGTTGAAATGAACAGAAGGGTGCAAAAATCCTTTTGGTGTTTCAGGTTTTTTATTTTATTTTATATATAGGGTATCCTCCCAGAAATGTATACACACTTTAACAGCTGATAGCTCAATATTGAAATGAAATGTATTTTTATATTTTTTTAAATTTCTTTTTTATTTTATTTATTTATTTTAAAATATATTTTATTGATTTTTTTACAGAGAGGAAGGGAGATAGTTAGAAACATTGACGATGAGAGAGAAATATTGATGAAAGAGAAACATTGATCAGCTGCCTCCCCTACTGGGGAGGTGCCCACAACCAAGGTACATGGCCTTGACTGGAATCGAACCTGGGACCCTTCAGTCCATAGGCTGAAACTCTATCCATTGAGCCAAACCGGTTTTGGCTAAAATGTATTTAAAAAAAATATTTTTACTGATTTCAGAGAGGAAGAGAGAGATAGAAATATCAAAGATGAGGATTGCAGGGTCTAGGGGAGGCTGGGGTGAGGTAACATTAAATTAAAAAATAAATAAATAAATATCAATGATGAGAGAGAATCATTGGCTGCCTCCCCCCACATTGGGGATCCAGCCTACAATCTGAGCATGTGCCCTGACTGCGAATCGAATTGTGACTTCGTGGTTCACAGGTTGATGCTCAATCACTGAGCCATGTAGGCCAGGCTGAAATGTATTTTAATAAACACTGCTTTTTATTCAAAGTGTGTGTACACATTTTTTGAGACACTCTTTATTCCCTAAAGTGGAATTTCTGGGTCATAATGCAGTTCCATTTTTAATATTTTGAGGAAATTCCATACTGTTTTCCACAGAGGCTGCACCAATCTGCAGCCTGGTACACAATATTTGTGCACTGGGGGATCGGAGGGGGATCCCTCAGCCCAGCCTGCATCCTCTTGCAGTCGGGGACCGCTTAGTGGACATCCCCTGAGGGGTCCTTAGCGCTGCCTTGGAGGTGGGAGAGGCTTGCCAGCCATAAGCCCTGCTCAGCTCCTCTGTGGGAGCGCACTGACCACCAGGGGAAACTCCTGTGTTGAGCATCTGCACCCTGGTGGTCAGTATGCATCATAGCGACTGGTCGTTCTGCTGTTCTGTTGATTTGCATATTAAGGTTTCATTATACAGGGTACTGTTCTTACCCCATTGTATGTTCTTACCTCCTTTATCATAGATTGGGCTGTCTAATATATGTCCGTTTTTATGCCAGTACCATGCTATTTTGATTACTATGGATTTGTAGTACTAGTATAGTTTGATAGCAATTGGCATGATTCCTCCAACTTTGTTCTTCTTTCTCAAGATTACTGAGGCTATTTGGGGGGTGTGCAGGAGGCAGCTGGTCGATGTGGTTCTATATAATTTTTTGGAATTTTTTTTTAGTTCTGTGAAATATGCCATTAATATCTTTATAAGAACTGCATTGAATCTATAGATTTCTTTGCAAACATTTTAATGATGTAAATTCTTCCTATCCATGAACACAGTATTTGCTTCCACTTATTTGTATCTTCTTCAATTTATTTCTTTAGCCTTAATTGGTTTGGCTCAATGGATAGAGCGTTGTCCTGTGGAACAAAGGTTTGATCCCAAACTTGGTTGCAGGCTCCTCGGGCCCTGGTCAGAGGAAATTAATCAATGTGTTTCTCTCCCATCAATGTTTCTCTCTATCTTTCCCTCTCTCTTTCATTCTCTCTAGAAATCAATGGAAAAATATCCTCTGGTGAGGATTAAAAATAAAAATTATTTCTTCAGTGTCCTAATTTTTTAAGTACAGGTTTTTTGCATTCTTGGTTAAATTTATTCCTAGGTATTTTATTTTATTTTTTAATATTCACCCCAGGATATTTTTCCCATTTATTTATGTATTTATTTTTCAGCAAGGCAAATATCTTTACTTCTGCAGAAGGGTGTGCACATGGTCTGGGAGCACATGCATACTGACTTTTTTTTTAAAGAGAGTGGAAGGAAGGGAGTGTGTGTGTGTGTGTGGGGGGCGCGTAAAGAGAGAGATATAACAACAATGTAAAACAAAAAAGAATTTAAAAAAATCAATGTGAGAGAGACACATTGATTGGTTGACTCCCACACACTCCCGGGGAGATGGAGCCTCCAACAAGGTATGTGTCCTTGACCAAGAATTGAACTTGATACCCTTCAGTTGGTGGGCTGATGCTCTAACCATGGAGCAATGGCCAGGCTATTTTATTTATTTATTTATTTTTACTTTTAATTTTTTAAAAGTTCTCACACAAGGATATTTCTTCATTGATTTTTAGAGAGAGTGGAAGAGAGGGAAGACAGAAATGTGCAGAAGGCAGCCAATTAATGAGCCAAACAGGCTAGAACTAATTTTTTTTTTAATGCAATTGTAAGTGGGATTGTTTTCTTAAGTCTCCCTTTATGATAGTTCACTTTTGGTGTATAAAAATGCAACTGAGCCCTAGCTAGTTTGGCTTGGTGTATGGAGCATCTGGCGGCTGACTGAAGGGTCCCAGGTTCCATTCCAGTCAAGAGCATGTACCTCTCTGTTACAGGCTCCATCCTCAGCTTCAGTTTGGGGAGTGTGCAGGAGGCAACCAACATCAATATCTCTCTCTGTGTCTCTCCCCCTCCCTCTTACTCTCTCTCTAAAAAAAAAAATCATTAGAAAAATATCCTCGAAAAAATAATGCAACTGATTTCTGGATATTTATTTTGTATCCTGCTACTTTACTGAATTCATTTATCAGTTCTGGTAGTTTTTTGTGTGGAATCTTTAGGGTTCTCTATATACAGTATCATGTCATCTGATGTACATACTTTTTTTTAAAACTTAAGATGAGTGTGGAGCGGTACACTTAAAATTAGTTCACTCTGCGCTTTATGCTATACATTAAAAATGTTTTAAAAAGAAGGCTTAAAGTTCTGGCTCGGGATCACAAAAGTGTGTATATCCAAATGAAAAAATATTCATCCCTAAAATGCGTGCAGCCTACCCTACATTATAACCCTCTCAGGAAAAAGACAGAAATTGAATCTATGTCCCTTCTGCCCAGGACTAGCAGTAAAAGCCCGCCAGCGCTAGGTTCATTGACTGACACAGCGGACCTCCGCGTGGCCTGCGATCGGGCGCCGGAAGGGGGCGCCCGAGCCGGGGTTGGGGCTAAAGCTGCACAAAGAGGTCTTCCGGCCCCCGGGGGAGGCGGTGGGCGGCGCCCGCCCCGACGCGCGCGGGCTGGGAAACCGCCGCCTGGAGCCACGCTGCTACTCCACTTCTCGAGAGCCGTCACTGACGTCACCGCCCCGCCCCCTTTCCCGGCCTCGTGCCGTTGGGCCCCGCCCCGCCCCCTTTCCCGGCGTGCCCCGCGGTGAGGTCCCTCGCCCTCGGCTTTTGCCAGTTGCCCCAAGATGGCCGACACAATGAGTTGATCCGCGTCGGTTGCTCGAGAGCCTACAGCGAGAAGCAACGGTCGGCGAGGCCTCCCTGTCAGGAGAGCGTGGCACGAGCAGGAGGAGGGAGAGGACCAGGCGCCCCGACTGTCCGCCGCTCTCGCGCTCGCCGCCGGCGCGGCGCCTGCCTTGCCTGGGTCGGCCCCTCGGCTGCCCGCCCGCTCCCTCGCTCCCTCGCTCGCTTGCCTGCCCGCTCGCCGCGGGGCCCCGCCCCGGCCCTGCTCCGCCGCTGCCGCCGCCATGAAGCTGACCGACGGCGTGCTGCGGAGCTTCCGCGTCGCCAAGGTGTTTCGTGAGAACTCGGACAAGATCAACTGCTTCGACTTCAGCCCTAACGGCGAGACGGTCATCTCCAGCAGCGACGACGACTCCATCGTGCTGTACGACTGCCAGGAGGGCAAGTGAGTGCGGCGGTTGGCCCTGCGCCCGGCCCCGAGCCCCTCCTCCCGCCCGCGGGTCGCCCCGCGGCCCGTTCCCCGCTCCGACTCCCGCCTCCCGCCTCCGGCCTACTTTGCACTCGCTTCTGCCAGGGCCGTTTCCATTCCGAAGCCGTCCAGGAGACCTTTCCCTTTTTATTTTATTTTTTAATGAAGTAACGGTTGTAATGCTAGGAGTAGTGTGTTCTAAGTCTGCGATCTCTTCCGAGAACGCCCTGCATCTCTTGCCAAACCCCACCATGACCTTGACCTTTCAGCGCCCGGTTTGCCCAGCGGGTGGCTTTCCCGCGCCTCCTACTCCATCCGAGATGCCCGTCGGCTCTGCCCCCGGCTCCCGCCGAACCGCGGAGGAGGCTCCCCCGCCGCAGCCGGCCGCTCTGCGCGCCCCCGCGGAGGTGACCTCGATCCAGCGCTGGCACCCGCCCGGCCCCTGGCCTGCAGCCTCCCGCCGCCGTGCTGCTGGAAGGCCGCGTGGGTTGCAGTTCTCACCTTCAGGATTTTTTTCCCCCCTTCCTTTCCTTTCTGTTCCAAATCGTGCTCATATTCCTTCGGACCCGATGCCCACGCTTATGAGTGAACTTTGAAACTTTTCCTTTTTTTTTTTTTTTTTTTTTTGCCAGGCACAAACAAACTTGGCCGTCCCATCCCGACCCGAATGTGGACCTCCCCTTAGAACAAAGAAAGCATCGTATAACAATGTTGTGTTTCCTTTTACACGCTTAAAAAAAAATTACACTTTATGGTCCACTTGGAATTATCAAAAAACCGAGTCTAGTCTAACCATGAAATTTATACGTTGCCCCCCAAGTCCTCTGGAGACTCACCACACCTGCTTGTAAGCCCAGCATTTTTTTTTTTTTTTCTCCTGAGGACCTTGTCAGCTTCACCTCACCCTTGTAGATTTGCTTTCTTAAAGTTCTTGCCAAGTTGTGAGCTCCTTTGGGGCAGAACTGGGTTTAGACTAAATTTTATTTCCCTTCAGCCACTTGACTCAAGCAGGCTTGCAGATGTTTGGTTTTGTCAGACTTCATTTTGTTGTCTAGTTCCAGATCTTATTTTTTGAATCTTTGGGTTTTCCTTTATCTTCTCCAGCTGTTCTTCTTCTTCTTTTCTTTTTGCCTTTAAAAATACATACTGATGTCTCCTATAAACTTTCTTATAGAACTTGTCTCTTTGTGAGTTTAGTTATCTAAAGTAATTCTGTTTGGTCTGAGCCATAGTGTTCTACCCACTTTTTTCCCACGGGGACCATGAAAAAGTATTATGTAATTGGCTCTGGATTTGCCTGCTCTATGTGGGAGGATGGCCTATAGTAGTGGTCCTGGGAGAAGAGAATTTGTTAGCTAGAGTGATGCTGAGTTTTTTGAGTCATCTTAATTTGTTTAGCATATGGATTTCTGTCCATATCTGGCCACTTAATCTGGTTGGAAGAGGGTAATGTATAAAGCTGGGGTGCGGGTCAGTTGTGGGGTTCTGGAGCTAGAAGTAATTTGAACCTGGCTTCCTTGAAATGCTTGTGCACAGATTAGAACTTCTCCCTGGAATCTGAGGATCAAAGTGGAAAGGAAATTCCACTTCATTCAAAGGAAATAAAGGTTGTGGTAGTATTTCTTCACAGTTTGTCTTGTAATTTTGACTTGTTGGGAGGAATGACAGTGACTTGAAGTCCTATCTTAATAAAAGTAAAATGCTAATTTTATGACATACTATATAGTTTTATTCACTCATGTAGCATTCTTACATAATTACAAACTTACAGAAAAGTCACAGCAATGTTCCAAACACCCTTATGATCCAATAATCGGCCACATTTTGCCCCATTTGCTTTATTCTCTATGTACATATTTAAACATATGCATTTTTTCCCCCAGAAGTTGGAGGTGTCAAGCCCATTTATTCTTTTTAAAAAATTTTAATGTATTGATTTTTTACAGAGAGGAATGGAGAGGGATAGAATAGAGAGTTAGAAACATCGATGGGAGAGAAACCGATTCAGCTGCCTCCTGCGTACTCCCTACTGGGGATGTACCTGCAACCAAGATACATGCCCTTGACCGGAATCAAACCTGGGACCCTTTAGTCACAGGCCAATGCTCTTATCCACTGAGCCAAACCGGTTAGGGCAAACAATATTCTTTATGCTCTATGTTTTCTAGTTTACTGTTCTTTAAAATTTTATAATGGAGTTCATCCATTGAGTGATTTTTTTTTTTCAACTTGAGAGAATATGAAGGATATTATCTGTGGCAGGTGATGCGAATTATTCAAAAAGAAGGCTTTAATGTTATTTATTCATTATTTAAAAATATATTTTTATTATTTCAGAGAGGAAGGGAGAGAGAGAGAAAACATCAATGATGAGAGAGAATCATTGACTGGCTTCCTTCTACATTTCCCCTACTGGGGATCGAATCTGCAACCTGAGGAAGTGCCCTTGACCAGAATCAAACCTGGGACCCTTCAGTCTGCAGGCAAAAAGCTCCATCCACTGCGCCAAACCAACTAGGGCTATTTATTCATTCTTGATCACCAGAATCTTCAATCTAGATCAACCCATGATTTTGGTTGGTGGAGAGAAGCTTACCAAAATATTTGTGAAAAAATGTTGTTTCTGGGCTTTGTAAAGGTTCTCTGAAATGAATGCAGTACATTAGAATCTTACTTTCAAACTAGAAAATCACGTGGTAAAAGATTTCTGTAATTAAGAACAAGTATCAGGTTAGTGTTATTGACAAATTTGAGGCAAATATGCTACTAGGTGTATCAGTTAATAATGTGGATTTTTTTTCATTAGAGTTACACATGTTGATATATATATATGGGATTTGATATATATGCTATTTTGTTGTATTGACAGCAAGTTTCAAAACTTCATATGTTAAATTTGCTGAAGGTGTTAACATCATAGATATTTTTATGCTTACTAGTAAAAGTGTTGAATTTCATGTCCTCCCCCCCCCCCCAAAAAAAAGAGCATTTGTGGTAAGTTTTAATTCATTATTTTGAAGAAAAAGTTATTGTATACTTCGGGAAGCTTATGGTGAACATGCTTCATCTCAAAATACTTGTGAACACTGGTTTAGATGCTTTAAAAGTGATGATTTCGATGTGAAAGACAACGTCCAGGTCAACCGAAAAAGTTTGAAGACTAACAATTACAACTTTACTGGATGAAGATGTGTGTCAAACTCAGAAACAACTTGCAGAAAGATTAAATGTTGCTCAACAAACAATTTTCGATCATTTACAAGCAATGGGAAAGATTTTAAAGGAAGGAAAATGGGTGCCACGTCAACTGAATGAAATATATATATAAAATATAAATGGAAAACCGAAAAGTCAATGAAAAACCAGTAAAATGTTGCTTCAACGAAAGCACGAAAAAGTTTTTTGTTTTTGTTTTTTTGCATCAAATTGTGATTGGCGATGATAATTGGATTTATTTTGAGAGTCTCAAACGCACAAAATCATGAGTTGATCCAGATAAACCATCAACATCAACTGAAAGACCAAATCGCTTTGGAAAGAAGACAATGCTCTGAGTTTGGTGGGATCAGGAAGGTGTGGTATATTATGAGCTTCTAAAACCAGGTCAAACTGTTAATACTGATCACTACCAACAACAAATAATCAATTTGAATCACTATTTGGTCGTGAGACCATCAGAATGTGCCAGAAGACACGGCAAAGTAATTTTGCTTCATGATAATGCACCATCACACACTTAAAGACACATTAAAAGACTTTGGGAAGTAACCCACCCGCTATATTCACCAGACCTTCCTCCTTCAGATTACCACTTGTTCCAATTGATGGCACATGCACTTTCTGAGCACCGCTTCAAAACATAAGAAGTGGCTGAAACCGGTTTGGCTCAGTGGATAGAGTGTCAGCCTGTAGACTGAAAGGTCCCGGGTTCGATTCTGGTCAAGGGCATGTACCTTGGTTGCGGGCACATCCCCAGTAAAGGGTGTGCAAGAGGCAGCTGATTGATGATTTCTCTCTCATCGATGTTTCTAACTCTCTATCTCTCTCTTCCTCTCTGTGAAGAATCAATAAAAAATATATTAAAAAACAAAACATAAGAGGAAAATTGGGTCTCTCAATGGTGTGCCTCAAAACAAAAGTTCTATTGGGGCGATATCCACAAATTACCTGAAAGATGGGGGAATTGTGTAGCTAGTGATGGACATTACTTTGAATAAAGCAATTTTGATGTTTCTCTCAAAATTACCTTGTTTTCTTTGATTACAAAATTCTCCATTATTAACCGGTACATCTAGTATATAAAAGTGGAACTGAAAATTTTCCTTATACCACAGACTTTTTAACATTGGCTCTTTAGGCTCTGATAATAGAAAGACTGAAATACTGGGACAAGTAAGCTTCTCCTTTCACTGATAGAGGCAAAGTCAACTATCTTATGAGAGCAAGCACATGTGCATGCTCATACGTGTTTATTCATTCTCACTTGATACCACCATATAGTAAGTAACCCCAATGAACAACTCTGGATAGTGGACTTTGCTAGGTAGCTAGCCTCTGAGCTGATCTTTTTAGCTGATCTTTCAGTAATGGTAAGAAATGGAAAATTCAGTTCATTTGGAGAAGTCTCATTTGGAAATGCATTTTATGTAGGGAAATTGTTAATCTTACTTACATTAAAAGATATTGAGACCTGGCCAGTGTTTTCAGTGGTTATGTCTGCCAATGCACCCAAGGGTTGTGGATTTGATTTCTGGTCAGGAGCTCATACCTGGTTGCAGGTTCAATCCCCACTTCATTCAGGGCATGTGCAGGAGGCAACCAATTGATGTGAGGTGAGACTTCTTATATTGATCTCCCTTTCTCCTTCCCTCCCTCTTACTCTCTCATGGGAAAAATATACTCCAGTGAGAACAAACAAAAATATTGGAAGTGCAAATGATTGATTTCTTATAGCTGCCTGGGTCATCTGATAGTTTAGCATCTATGTGCCAAGATGAATTTGCATTGATGACAGGGTGATCTTTGTCATAAATCGAAACTCTTGGTAAACATTCGTACAGGATTTATGAAATTCTCCTACACCTAAATGTAGAACATTATGAAGTTTTGGTTAATGATTTTGTTGAATTTGCTTTCAGCTTGATCCTCAAGCTTCCATAGAGGAAGACATTTAAGGAACTTCAGCGAATGGATTGATTTTGCATTAAAGTAAAAAGAAAGTAATGAATGACTAACTAACTAGTTTTGCTAGGGAGAGTTAGGCTTGCCTTTCAAAAGGCTCAGTAAGTACTTTGGACATGTAGGAGCTCATACCTGGTTGCAGGTTCAATCCCCACTTCATTCAGGGCATGTGCAGGAGGCAACCAATAGGGAGATTGGATAGCTTCTGCGACAGCAGGTTATTAGGAAAGATAAAGTTCTGGCCTCACTGGTTTGATGTCACTCTTTGTGAACAAGATAACTTTGTGCGTGCGTGCCTTTGTTCCCAAATAGATGTATTTTTTGTCAAAGCTAACTTTTGAACATTGTAATAAAGACTGAATTGAGCCCTCAGATTTACTTCCACTTTCGAATCTTTGCATTTGGTGAAAAGCTGTTGCACTTGATTGATTTCATTTGTTTCTTCCCTCTTGTAAGAAATTCTGATTCTTTCCATTGTTAGAGATTACCAAGAATCCTCATCTTTGCCAAATCATTCAAGTGCTTTTTAAAAAATGAAGATCCCAGATTTTGATGATGGAGGATTTTGATGGTTTTCTTTCTCTATCCATTTTCTTATCAGACCAAAGAGAACCCTGTACAGTAAGAAATATGGCGTGGACCTCATCAGATATACTCATGCAGCAAACACAGTCGTTTACAGCTCTAATAAAATAGATGGTAAGCAAACCTTCTTTTTAGTAGTTAATGGTCATGGTTTCCTTTGTTAATTAGTTAATGGAATCTTTGTGACTATTTCTGTTTTGGTGGTAGTTACTTTAAATATTTTCCTATGATGTTAGCAGTGCTAACATTGTTATGACTGAAAAGATGCTGGAGGCAAGCCGCAAGTGCTTTTGAAAAACTTGAAATTGAGTATGAAAGATCTTTAGAGCAGAAAGTGGAAATAGGAAGCAACAAATGGTGTTTAAGGTTTGTACTTCTTGAAACTTAGAAGAATACTTTTAGAAAAAATGAAAGGAAAGAATACTTGACACACAGCAAGTGGTAAACAATAGTACCTCCTCTTCAAAGTACCAACAGAGATTTGAGAAAAGTTTTCATAAATGCTTGAGCTATGATAGTTTATGGGATCTAGAGGAGTTTTTAGTGTATGCCCAATCTTTTATGGTCTGTGTCAATAAAGGACATTGTGCTGACCTTTTTTGTCTTTAATTCTGGGGACAATGTTTTTATCTGAATTTTATCCTTTTCCCTTTTAAGTAAAGCTAATGTCTTTGAAGAGTAAAATTATTTTCAGAAATTAAACTTGTGAGTTTTTTTCTCTAATAATGGTCTCGGTTTTTACCTGCATTTCATCTGGATAAGTTGTTCTCAGTTGACAGATCTTGGTAATTGAGCAATACCACTTTATTATTATTATTATTATTATTATTATTATTATTATTTAAATATATTTTATTGATTTTCCACAGAGAGGAAGGGAGAGGGATAGAGAGCTAGAAGCGTCGATGAGAGAGAAACATTGACCAGCTGCCTCCTGCACACCCTCTACCAGAGATGTGCCCGCAATCAATGTACATGCCCTTGACTGGAATTGAACCTGGGACCTTTCAGTCCACAGACCGATGCTCTATCCATTAAGCCAAACCAGTTTTGGCTATTATTATTTTTTCAATATATTTTTTATTTCCGAGAGAAAGATGGAGGGAGAGAGAGATAAGAAACATCAATGATGAGAGAATTATTGATTGGCTGCCTCCTACACGCCCCCCCCCCTGGGGATTAAGTCCTCAACCTATGCACGTTCCTGACCAGGAACCTAATTGTGACCTCCTGGTTCATAAGTCAATGCTCATCCATTGAGCCACATTGACTGGGCAACACTTTCATGTTAGGACTCCTTTTTAAAAAAAATTCTCACTAATTTGATTGTTTCACTTTTTTTGCAGTAACATTTTTCTAATATCATTCAACAGAGATTGCTTATACTGTTATTGTGGTTCTGCCAGTCTGAGAGCTGAAAGGTCTTTTTTTTTTTTTAAGAATGATATTTTATTTTTTAATATTTTTATTGATTTTTTTTTTTTTTTTTTTTTTTTTTTTTTTACAGAGAGGAAGGGGGAGGGATAGAGAGCTAGAAATATTGATGAGAGGAAACATCGATCATTTGCCTCCTGCATACCCCCTATTGGGGATGTGCCCAAACCAAGGTACATGCCCTTGACCAGAATCGAAGCTGGAACCTTTCAGTCTGACTCTATCCACTGAGCCAAACCGGTTTCGGCTCTTTTTGATTTTTTTAAAAAATATTTAATGAGATGTTTCTACCTGTACTTGAGTTTTAGTAAGTATATTATTTCTACTTTTCATACCTATATTTTTTTTTAAGTAAGCATGCATTTGATGCTTTTGACAAGCATATATAAGACATTAGATACATATCTATGTGATTATCTGCATGACTGGAATATTTCTTCTGTAGGGGTCTTTTTCTGGGTAATTAAATAAGGATTGTCCAAATCTGGTTCAAGATGAGGCAAATGTGTGGCACTTGGCAGTTTTGCTGCCAGGGCTCTGCTGTGAGGATATTGCCTTTCCTGTCTCGAGTGCATCCTGAAGAGTTCCTTCAACGCTTCGTTTCCTTTTGCCTGATTCCAGGCTGAGGTAGTAGTTTGTACAGTTTGAGGGTCTATGATACCACCCGGTACAGGAGATAACTGTACAGGCCACTGCCTTGCCAGGAACAGCGCGCCAGCTACCGAGTGGGGCGGAGAGGATGGCAACGCCCTGCTCATCTCTGGGAAACCAGGTAATGGGGAGAAAGCCTTTTTCTGCTTAGGGAAGGTGAGTAGCTCCTAGCAACAGGACAAACAGGAAGACTTAGTAGTTGTTATTGGAGAACTTTAAAGATGTATTTAAGGAAAACCATGTAAAGTTCAATTTTGTAACCCTCTCTCAGCTTAAATGCCCTTTTACTAGAAACTACTCCTGTGAACCACTGGGATGACTTGGTGCTGTTAGTGTCTTTGTTCCTGTGTTCTGTTTTCCTCCAGAATGTTCTTTTCTGTGCTTTCCTTTCTGCATTTTGGTATCATTTCCTATTAACCCTTTCTCAACAATTGTTCCTTATTCATAGTCTTTTTAAGAGCATAGTACTTTCCAGTTCTATTCTTTATGGCACTTCATTTCCCTTCCCACCACCATCTTTTAATCATTTGGTTTTTAAGAGTGTCTTATTTTATCCAAGCACAAATCTTTACGTTTATTCCTTTTGTTGTTATTGTCAAAATCTCACTGTTCTGACTTCTTGGTATAGTTCATGAGTTTTATTTGGAAAATATCTTAAAGATCTTTGAAATCCAAATTTTCTCACTTCTTTTGGCCACTTTATTCGTATTTTAAACTAATTTCTCTGATGAACAAGGGACCAGTGGATAGTTGGTTAATTAGAAAAGAAGTAACTTCTCTTTCCATTTTGTTTAGTTTTTAGGTAAATAAATTGTAAACACATTCAGGTGAGGTTATTGCTCGATAGTCTTGTCAACTTAAGAATTCTACTTTTGAATAATTTCAGATCTGTAGTGCCCTCTTTTCAGTTGTGGAAAGGAATTATTTACTATTTATTCACACCTTGCTTGTGTTATAGACAGCAGTGACTTCTTTGATCTTGCCTTTTCAAGATGAAATGCAAAGTAAGTTTCTTTAAAAATAGTAGAATATCATCATGCCTTATTTGTCTTCTTACAGATACTATTCGTTACCTGTCCTTGCATGACAACAAATACATCAGATACTTTCCTGGACATAACAAAAGGTAAGGCCCCAAGTGTTGTAGGCATGGATAGTTTTTTTTTTTTATTTTTTTTTTTATCTCTGAGCTCTCAGATAATAGAAGAATGAATAGAGAGATTTTTATCAGTGAACTAAAGCTAGTTCCTCACTGCTGCTTGGCCTTCCTCTTGGTTTTCTTTTGTTAATCCCCCCTCAGTCAACTTTTAATTAACTGAGGTTGTGGAGGTAGGGGTAGGACTTCATAGATAAATTTAAATTGTTGCCAGAAAGGGGACCTGGTCCTTGGTGAGTCTGCCTAAGGCCAGCCTAGCCTGTAGTGTGTGGGTTCTTGATTTCGGGCAGGTAAAATTTCACAACATGAAGTCCAGATGAATTTTAGAGGATGTTTATTAAAGTTGGGGACAATGAAACAAGGAAGGGCTGGGAAATGAGCTTAGGCTGGATTGCTTTGGCTCACTAAAGTCAGAGAAAGGAGGACCTTGGGTACAGGCTCCAGGGGTTTGCTGGGGATGATCTGCCACTGCCCATTGCCGTCCTGGTTGCAAGCCTTGTAGGGTCCCTTGGAGTTTAGGAGATACATGCCTAGGGGAAAGAAGTAGGAAGGAGAAAGCAGGCTTGTAATTTGTTTTTGAGGGTTTTTAAAGACTGGGTGTTTAGGGGAAGTCTCATGGGAGAATCTCGATAGAATATTCATCAGCTTTATGCTGATGTACCAAAATGAGGTTTATTCTCTTAACTTCATCGGTCCTTAGTTGTTGTTAGCAAATGGCACTATTTGGATTTCTGCTGTCTCCCTGCATAGAATGATTTAAGCTATTTACCCTCTAGTTAGGAGGATAAGTGGGAACCATTTACTCAAATGTCCCTGGTTTAGGGAAGATAGGATATACTAGATCAGTGGTCACCAACTGGTGTTCCCCACAGCTGGTCCATGAGGTCCGAAAGGTTGGCGATCACTATACTAGATGGCTGTACTAGTAACTGCTTGGGATCTTGAATTTCTAGATGGTTGCAAACTGTTGTTTAACAATTTGATCTTACTTTCCCTAGTCCACTAGTCCTGGTTTACTGGTCTGTCTCAAAATCACAGTTAAAACGTAATTAGGAAAAACAGTAGATTAAAGATATTCAGTGGAAACCTATGTAATAAAAAATACAGTTAGCATTTAGGAACCCCAATGAAAGGGATATCTATACATATATGAAGCCTTCCAGTAAGGTGGTCCCATTTCAGCAGGCTTCTGCTCTACACACATTTTCTATGTGGGGATCTTAATGAGGAGGCAAAAGAATAATTGTCCTTGGTTACTTTTGAAAGTCAAGAAACTTGTTTCCTTATTCTATTTGGTAGTGTAGGTTGCTTCTCTGTTGTATCCTTTGCCAATTTCCTCAGTATTTTTTCTCTAGTTTGTCAAGTTTTGGTTGAATGTTGAACATGTTTTTCCCTTGGATGATATTTTAATCACAGGGAGGGGTTACTTCCTCCTGCTTTCATTTGCAAATGTCCAGAAACCAAGTAAGGCTTGGAGTGGTAGAGTATACCCTGACAGGAGGTGGACCAAGAGCCAGGCTGCTCTCTGATTGGTCAGGGCATTTCTATGTTGCTTAAGGTAAGAGGCAGCAGCTGTTGATTATTGTAGTGCCAGACAGTGAATGGCTTATGACAAGTAGATGTTTTTGCTTGTTTGTAATCAAATTAATGTTCACTAATATACTGTTGTCTGTAATTAGATTAGATTGCAGTTGTTCAAAATTCTTTCCAATCTTCCCAGTTGTTCAATCTCTTGACCACCTGATTCTTATTAGTAGAAGACTTTGTCCCTCTCTTTTTGATAAAATGAAGGCCATCCAAAATGAGTTCTTTTCAAATTCTATTTCTTTCACCTAAATTCTACTCTTCTAATCTTTTCTTGAAAAAAGAGTAGCCTTTCTTCCTTGACAAAAACAATATCTGTTTGCTTTCATCTCCTTAACTGAACATTTCCTTGCTGTCCACAGACTTGGTCTCATATCTTAAACCTATTTCTGGAGCCTATCACCCACACCTTTTCACAGTCTAAACATGAGTAATTTGCATACTCCTGTCTACCTCCTCAGAGTTATTCACTGTTTAAATCAGTCTCAGTCTAGTCCCAGAGTCATGTATGGGGGTTTTTCTAAGCTGTTTTACTTCTTTTTCCATGCTGCCTCCAGTTAAAATCCATTGCCTTGGGCTATTTTGCAGGGTGCTCAGCTTTTCAGTAAAACATTTTTCCCCCAGTATGCATCTGACTTTTCCCATCTCGATTCTGTCCCCTTGCTATTCTTGGCTTCTCTTTCTCCTTTTGGCTCTAAAATAAATAAGGTTCTATCCTAGCCTCTCCCCCTACCTGGTATTTAAAAATATATATCTCTCCCCTGATTTAATTCCTATCTACTCAGGTGGCTTCCCAAATCAGTATTTTTAGCCCATGTCTGTCATGATTTCCAGACTCAACTTTCACCTACAAGTTTTATACACATCTGTGCAGATGTTTTTTCCATGCCCACACCTGACAGGTCCAACACTCCATCCATCATTGTTCTGTTCCTTGAGTCATCTCTCTGTTTACCTTATGTTTCTTCATGTCTGTTCCTATCAATTCTCTGGACTCCCTTTCCCCTCCCTTCACATCCAGTGAGCTGTTAAATCCTATTCTATCTAGTTTTAATACCCTGTGTCACTCTTCTCCTACTCTTTCCTTTGCTTCTGTTCTGTCAGGTGAATTATTGTCAAATGCTAAATAATCTCCCCATCCCTTACCATCCTGCTTTAGCACCTTGTGTTACAGTTCTGACCACATTCTCCCTTAGGAAGTCTTAAAGACTCTCCACATTTGCCTGCTCATTTCCCTTGGACTCAGGTTCTCCTTCCTCTGGTTCTGACCTTTTCCCCATCATTATCTCTCAGTTGGAAAGGTGTCCCATCGAAATCATGTTTACCACAGTAATGCTTCTTCCAGGAAGCCTTCCCTGATCTTCTCTTAGAGATGTCTGGACTAGATAGTTAAGCTCCCATAGAGTTGAGGTATTATTCCTTTTTGTGTTCCCTGTACCTCTCAGCATAAAATTCAAGATGGACTTCCTCTGAGCTATTGACCTGAATGCCGTGGCATAAAATTACATGTCTATCTATATGCATGCATATAGATAGACATGTAATTCTGTTTGCTTATTCTGTTTAATATCTACTTTAATATCTATCACGTTAGCATTCCGAGGAAATTTTAGCTTACAGTATCTTTTAAATTTTTAAGTTGGGAATCTGGGGTAAATGTTAGTTGAGTTATATTGGAAGATTTTTTTTTTTTTAAGAAAAATTTAAAAAAGTACATGGTAAGGAAAGTAATTTTTTTTTTCTTTTCTATTCATGGTATACACTTTAACTCTTTCTAGTGGAACCAAAACCTCCTGAACCCCTTTCACTGTCATTCAAAACTTGAATTTCCGCTATTTCTAGATTTTAAAAATCTATTTACAAATGAGCTGTGCAGTTCAATTACCTTTTTTATTTCAAGCTTTTCTTTGTCAAATGAAACAGTACAAGCATACTTCCTCTAAAATTTTTTAAAGTTTTTTTATTTATTGATTTTTAGAGAGAGAGAGAGACATCATTGTTCCACTTATTTGTGCATTTATTGGTTGATTCATGTATATGCTCTGACCGGAGATCAAACTTGCAACCTTGGTGTATTGGGACAATGCTGTAACCAACAGAGCTACCCAGCCAGGGCTCCTGTATATCTGTAGTCTTGATTTGTGATACCAGCTGCTAAATCTATGAAGTGTTTTACAGCCAAGCCAGAATGTGGAACTATTTGACCATAACACCTAGAAGAAAGAGCCACCTGAGTGTCTATTTTCACAAGGGCTTTCTTCATAGGTGATATGGTAGAGTCACAGTCACTGCACAGATCATAGCTCACACCTCAAGAACCCCATGGTCAGGGCCGTGGTATGCTCTGAGAGGCAGGTAAAGTGGAGCCACATGTGGTCCTTCTCTGCAGGCCAGGTCCAAATGCTGAGGAAATGGAGGGTGTCTCTTCAGAGCACAGAATGGCAGAGCAAGAACACCAGCAGGGAGGACAGGAGAGCTCAGGATAAGTCCTTGGAAGAAATGTTTTTCAGTGAGCGATATTCTCTCTCTCTCTCTCTCTCTCTCTCTCTCTCTCTCTCTCTCTCTCTCTCTCTCTCTCTCTCTCTCAATTGATTATAGAGAGGAAGGGAGAAGAGAGAGATGGAAACATCAATGATGAGAGAAAAATCATTGAATGCCTTCTGCACCCCCTACTGGGGATCGGGCCTGCAACCCAGGCATGTGCCCTTACTGGGAATCAAACTGTGACCTCTTGGTTCATGAGTCAATGCTCAACCATTGAGCCACACCAGCTGGGCAGTGGGTAATTCTTAATGGGATAATCATAAAAAGGGACCTGCATAAAAATATAGTTGCTGGTAGCACAGGCCTGTGGCTCTGTAAGTGTAATGCCCAAATTAGCAGTCTCATGATCACTTAGGAGTTTGTTAGAAACTTGAATTCTCAGACCTCAGCCCAGACCTGTTGGATTATTCCTGGGAGTGACCCCAGTGATCAGTTTGAGTCCACCCTCCCAGCCATGCTGGTAAATGTTTTTCATTTTCTATTCACGGTATATACAGTTTAATTCTTTCTAGTGGAACCAAAACTTCCTGAACCCCTTTCAGTATCATTCAAAACTTGAATTTCCTCTATTTCTAGATTTTAAAAATCTAGAATGGGTATAGGGAGTGAGAATGGTACAAGGTTTCTCTTTGGAGTAATGAAAATGTTCTGGAATTAAGATAGGGGAATGGCTGAAACCGGTTTGGCTCAGTGATAGAGCGTCGGTCTGCGGACTGAAAGGTCCCAGGTTCGATTCTGGTCAAGGGCATGTACATTGGTTGCGGGCACATCCCCGGTAGGGGTGTGCAAGAGGCAGCTGGTTGATGTTTCTCTCTCATTGGTGTTTCTATCTCTCTATCTCTCTCCCTTCCTCTCTGTAAGAAAAATCAATAAAATATATATATTAAAAAAAAAAAGATAGTGGAATGGTTGCCCAACTTTGTAAGTGTACTGAAAACAACTGAACTGTTTACTTTAAAAGGGTGATTTATGGTACTGAACTATATGGGATACTTAATGAGTGGTGTAGACTTTTAGTCTAGGCCACTTGGATATATATAGATTTTTAGTCTAGGTCACAGACCAGTCACTGAGTACCCCATATAGTTCAGTACCATAAAGTGACCCTTTTAAAGTAAACAGTTAGTGGTTTTCAGTACACTTTTGAAGTTGGGCAACCATTCCACTATATTAATTCCAGAACATTTTCATCACCCCAAAGAGAAACCTTGTACCCATTCAACTCCTTGGCAACCACTAATCTACTTTCTGTCTCCATAGCTTTGCCTCTTCTAGACAATTTGGATAAATAGAATCAGACAGTATATGGCCTTTTGTGTTTGTCACTTACCATGTCTACAAAGTTCATACATGCTGTATGTAACATGAATCAGTACTTCATTTTTTAATGTTGAATAATATTCCGTTGTATGGATACATACATTTTGCTTATCCATTCATTAGTTGATGGACATTTGGGTGTCCAGTTTTTCGCTCTTATGAATAATGCTGCTTTGAGCATACGTGTTCTTTTTTTGTGTAGACATACACTTTCATTTTTCTTGTAATTTCTGGGTCATAGCAACTCTGGTATTTTGAGGAATTATAAACCTTTGCCAAAGGAACTGTGCCATTACATTCCCACCAGCAATGTATGAAGATTCCAACTTCTCCATATCCTTACCAACATTTGTTATATCTCCTTTTTTCTGTTATCTCTCTTTTAGATTATAGTTATGCTGGTGGTTGTGAAGTGGTATCTCATTGTGTTTTGATTTGCATTGGAATCATACATTTTTATGCTATAGCTTTAAGTTGCTTTTTTCATTATATTAGTTGCTTTTGACTATCCAGATTGCTTGTGTAGTATGTTCCTTAAAATGGCAGTTTGGGGAGAATAGTTTTATATATGTAAGCCGGTAGAGTGGTTTAAGGTTCACATCCAGTTTTTATAAATATTTTGCTTCAACTCCTATTTATCTCAATGCATTTCAGGGTGGTGGCCTTGTCCATGTCACCTGTGGATGACACTTTCATTTCTGGGTCTCTTGATAAGACCATTCGACTCTGGGATCTCCGGTCTCCTAACTGCCAGGTAATGGTACCGCACAGTTACACTTTGAGTGTTATGTATGGTAGGCACTGTCATCAACTCTCCCTCTCAAGGAAAGGGGAAAGCATTGGTTCCATTCTGGGATCCCAGAGTCTTTAAAAAAAAAAACTTTGGAGCAAATCTGATTTTCTGGTAGGTAGCTGGTAATTAAGCAAATGTCTTAATCCAGTCCATATTGCATTATGCTCTGTGGCTTACTGCTTTAAAAATGTTTTCCTGGAGCCTTTGCCTCAGGTTTTTATTTGGATTTAGTGGCTATATAATACAGTTAAGGTTGATCTGAAATTAGTTGTATGGAGACCTGTTTTTTTTTATAAAAGCTTCATTTCAGTTTTACTTTTTTACTTCCATAGGTAGGCTGTTACCTATTTGTGTCTCTTTCACAGTTTTCTTTGGGAAAAGTAAATTTTATAGTGATAGGATCCTAGGTTCATTAACTTTTTTTCTTATTTCTGTTTTCTTAGGGCCTCATGCACCTACAGGGCAAACCAGTTTGTTCTTTTGATCCAGAAGGGTTAATTTTTGCTGCAGGCGTCAATTCTGAAATGGTCAAACTCTATGACCTCCGCTCTTTTGATAAGGTAAACCCTTAAGCTATCTTGATATGTGGAAGTTTTGAAGGGTGAGATGGACATTTTAAGAACCTTAAAAAAAAAAAAAAAAAAAAAAAAAAATATATATATATATATATATATATATATATATACACACACACACACACACACACACACACACACACACATATGTGTGTGTGTGTGTGTGTATTGATTTTAGAGAGGAAAGGAGAGGAAGAAATAGAAACATCAATGATGAAAGAAAATTATTGATCTGCTGCCTTCTGTGCACGCTCCCTACTTGGGATTGAGTCCGAAACCCGGAATTCGACCCGGGATCCTTGTTTGCTGATGCTCTCTATCTGCTGAGCCAAACCAGCTAGGGCTTTAAGAACCTTTTCTATGATAGAGAGGTATATGGTAGGTATTGGGGAGTGTCATGTGTCATAGCAGTTCATCCTTTGCTTTCCCTAGTCAGAAAGGAATCCAAATGGGATAGAATAAGAGCTCTGGCAGAAGGAATTATTGATGTGCATTGGGGCTGCTGCTTTTATCTTTTGCAGGGGCCATTTGCAACATTTAAGATGCAGTACGATCGGACTTGTGAGTGGACAGGACTTAAGTTCAGCAATGATGGCAAACTCATCCTCATTTCCACCAACGGCAGCTTCATTCGTCTTATTGACGCATTCAAGGGAGTGGTGATGCACACGTTTGGGGTGAGCTGACATAGCTGCTTCCATGTTCCCATCTCCTGGGCTGAGAGTTGTGTTCGCTGGTTAGTGGAGACAAACAGCTATCCTTGACTCACTGATTGAGGCACGGGCTTGTATTTTCTTCCTATATATGAACTTACTTGTAACTCTTGGATTCTGAGACATTCACTTCTCACCAGTGACCCAAGTTTAGTGTTTAGATAGATGTCTTATAATTCCTGACCATAAATGTTTTCTTGCTCTCTTGAATATGGAGTTTGGAGTAGGGGGTGAGTGTTAAAGGCTGGGGCCACATTTGGAAACTTGGTGCCGTTGAGCCTGAGAAGATGGTTTCACAGAAAGGAAGGTGATGAGTCTGCTGGGTCAGTGTTTCTAGGCAGTTATGTTTTTGTTAATGGCACATTGGCAAGAGAATGGTTCTGTTTCTTTAGGGTTATGCCAACAGCAAAGCTGTCACACTGGAGGCCTCGTTTACTCCAGATTCCCAGTTTATTATGATCGGTAAGTGCTCTTTATACCCTTTGTGGGTTATTTTTCTAATACTGAGGTTTTGTTTGTACTATTTTTGTTAATTCTAACTAATTAAGACAATATTTGTTATCCTTTTGTTAAGATGTTCTCAGATTTCTGTGTAGCACAGTATGCCAAAAGTGCAGTGTATTTAAACAGTTTTGACTTTGCAGTTCTTTACTGAGAACTGGCATTAATGTTGGTCTTCCCTGGACTAGAGTTAGGGTTAAACTCTACAAGTACCATCTTACTAATACTACCTTTCTGATATAATCCTGCTTTCAATATTTTTTAAATATATATTTTATTGTTGCTAGTTTTATAGATATCTGCCATTTTCTCCACCTTGATCTCCTTCCTCCCAGGTCCTACCCACCCTCCAGGTCTTCACTATTTTATTGCCCATGTCCATGGGCTATACATACAAGTATATGATTTCTTTGGTTTATTCTCATCCCCCCATTTTAGTCATCTTAATGGCTAGGTGTTGGTGATGTAATGATAATCAGCTCCCATTTAAAAAAAAAATGTTTTTATTGATTTTAGGGAGAGAAGGAGAGGGAGAAACATCAACATTGATCGGCTGCCTCCTGCATGCCTCTATTGGGGATCAAGCCCACAACCCAGGCATGTGCCCTGACCAGTGACCTTGGTGCATGGGTTGATAATCATTGTGCATACCAGCTGGGTGCAGCCCCCATTTCTAATGAGAAAACTAAAGTCAGAGGGGAAGTTATTTGCTTAGGAACAAATAATTAGGATCAAGATTAATTTCTAGTGTATTTTCTTCACTGCTTCTCCCTCTCAATTTCTGCTGAGGGCTGGGTCTTAAAACATGACCTCTTTTCAGATGCCAATCTATGTCTCTTCCCCACTTGCCTTTTTATTGTGCTTTGAGCTGTTGTGTGTTCCTTTGATCATTCTATTCAGGTTCAGAGGATGGCAAGATCCATGTCTGGAATGGAGAGAGCGGTATAAAAGTAGCTGTGTTGGATGGCAAACATACAGGTCCCATTACCTGTTTGCAGTTCAACCCCAAGTTCATGACTTTTGCCAGTGCATGTTCTAACATGGTATGTGAACAGTGGGAGATGTTCTTCAGTTGGGTTGTGGGTGTTTCAACGAGCACAGCAGGCTGTGTTCTAATATTTGTGCTGCTGAAGCGAGCACAGCAAGATGTGTTCTAAATAGGTAAGATCTCTGTCTGGAATGGAGAGAGCGGTATAAAAGTACTGTGTTGGATGGCAAACATACAGGTCCCATTACCTGTTTGCAGTTCAACCCCAAGTTCATGACCTTTGCCAGTGCATGTTCCAACATGGTATGTGAACATGGTATGTGAGCACCCCCGTTTATATTTCTCAACTGTTGTTTCCATGTTTCACCTGTTATCTGATTTCTGGTTGGGCTGACCTTTCATTTAACTCTTCTTTCTATGATCTGGAATCACCTGTGAGTTAAGTCAGTTTTTAACTCTGGCTCCTGGTTCTATGTCCAAACTACCTGGACTATGTTTTGATAGCTTTTTGGCTTCTTAAAATACTTAGAACAAGCCTTTTGTGGTTGTAACCTATAAGATTCCCATTTTTCTCAGCTTATCACTGAATTCCTCAGACATTCTTAAAATTGATCATAACTCATCACTTAGAAAATTTTCTTCAGGCAGTGTCTCTTCCTAGATAACACTGTTAGAATAAAGCATCATGAGTCTCAGCCACCAGTTTCCTCTTGGCATCTTCTAAACCTACCTGGATGTTTGGAGGATGAGGCACTTACCCAGAACACATTAGCTTCCTTTTCTCCACTGTCCCTTTCCCCCCCTTCTTATGAAAACTGTCAGAAAAAAAATACAACAAAACCATCCAGTCCAATCTTTCTCATTTTTTAAAGATCAGGAAGGTTAGGGCCTTTCTGAGGGTTACCTGGTACATTAGTATGAGGCCAGGTTACCCAGATGCCTACCTCCTGGTCAGCACTCCTTTTTATCCTTACCACTGGGCCTCTGTGGTAAGGATAAAAAGGGTAGCAGTATTGGAGAGAAACGGAACCGTGTAAAGTGGAGTGTTTCTCCATAGATTGCCAGAGTCGGTTGTTTGGGAGGGCGGGCCACCAGCCATAAGGGTTGGACAGCTTGATGCTGTGGAAGGGGTAAAAGAACGCTTAGTAGTTAAGAGAGCGACTTAGCTTTTTAAAGTTGACTTTATGTTCTTTTCCCAGGCCTTCTGGTTGCCCACCATTGATGACTGATCCTGATGCTGTTTGGCTATTTCTGTACAGTGAGTGTGGCCAGCAGGAAAAAAACTCAGAGGGGACTGATCTAATATTGGGACTGGATCGTTTGACTGGGCTGGAGAACATCCTTCCACATGGCCTTCCCATGGATGTGCTGTACATCTGCTCAAAAGAAAAAAAGTACTTTGCCAAGCTTCTTCAAAAGGACTCTTGGTGGGGCATATTCAATTGGGACTCAAATTTTCTAGCCGTCAACTGCACCAAGCTCCTCCAGAGGATGACCAGACAGACTCATGATTAGGGTATAGTGGGGCCCTTAAGGCACCTTCAATTTTGAATGTATTTGCTGCTGAGGAGCTGGTGACGTTATTAATTCTGCACATCCCCTCTCCCATCCCCCGTAAATGCATGGGAAGCCACAGTTCTGGTTTTGAGATGTTAGAGCAGTTCAGTGCACCTTGTCCTCACCCTGCATGTCTTATTACTGGGTTTCCCTGTGTTATTGTGGTATAATCCACAACCTTCATGTTACTTAGGTGCCAAACATTTACAGAAATAAGTCTTCATATATCTTGGGGTCAGAAAGGGACAGATACAGAAAGACCTTGTTTGCTAGGAAGCCTTGCAAGTTATATAGTCATTTGAGGGTGGACGATCTAGACATGCCTCATAATCTGGGTTTTGGTGGGAAAGGACCCAAGAACCTAAAAGGGAGGAAGGGGACTGGGAGGTTTAGCAGTAGCCTAGTGTGGTCCCTCGTCATCAAGACAAACCCATGGTCCTCCTGGGTGTCTACCTAGTGTGGTCGTGTACAAAAGCAAGGGAGTCTATTTTTGTACATGAGATACATCATACTTTCATGTGGGGCCAGTATTGTGGAGTAAGTTTGAGTTGTTTACATTGATGCCTTCCCTGCCCACCACAAATGGTGTACATAGTCTTCTGATGATACCATCCCTTCCCAGCTCTCAACCATGAGCTGGCTCCAGGCCTGTGTTATATGTTATATTAGCCTTTTTATATATGACCTGGGATTTCTGTTGTTTGTATTCTAGCACAGTGTGTACACCTTCACTTAAATATATCTAAGTATGTGCATACATATATATGTATACTAGAGGCCCAGTGCATGACATTTGTGCACTGGGGCAGGGTTCCCTCAGCCAGGCCTGCACCCTCTTGCAGTCTGGGACCCCTTGGGGGATGTCCGCCTGCCAGCTTAGATTTATTCCCCGTGTTGGGAGTTGGCCTAAGCTGGCAGGTGGACATCCCCAAGGGGTCCTTAGCACTGCTGCAGAGGTGGGAGAGGCTACCACCACTGCCGATGCACTCATCCAGCTGAGCCTAGCTTCTGGCTGAGCGGCACTCCCCCTGTGGGAGTGCACTGACCACTACGGGGCAGCTCCTGCATTGAGCATTTGCTCCCTAGTGGTCAGTGCGTGTCATGTGACTGGTCATTTCATCTTTCAGTCAATTTGGATATTAGGGTTTTATTAGGGTGTATGTATGCATATATATAAAATACCTGTTGTTTCTTGGAGTTTAGCTGAAGGACAGCTTGGGGAAAGACTGCATTTTTGTTAATAGTATTTGCCACAAGTGTTTGTGAGTCTTCCCTATTACATTTTCCCTTAGGAGACTTAATGGAGCAAAACTTCAAGTGTTTGCTATTCCCATGGCAGCTAATTGAGGGTCTTGGGACAACTTCCTTGTGTTCATCAAGCCGCACTTTGGGGCCCTCTCTGCAGTATTAGCCCCCTTTTTTGCCTGGTGATACTCTGTCTGCACCTTTATATGTGTGACAGTCACTTATGCATGCTTTTTGTGTCTGGCTTACAGTATTGGGACAGGATGCTGCAACCATGGCATTTTCAGTTTGGGGCTTTACCAATTACAGGTCACTCCTGTTTACCTGTTAGGTCTTCTTTCTTGTTTCTGTTCCTTGCCTTCTCTTTGGAGAGGGAGGGGTCCTGACTAGGGTTGAGATGAGCTGTGGCTAGCTTATGGCTTTTTCTCCCCTGCATGGCCTTCTTAGAGCAGGATGAATGAATGGCATGTTATTTTGCTAAATTCCCAAACATTTAATTAAGCAGGTAACATATTCCCTGCACTTCCAGAAACAGACTCAACAAGATGATTTATCCACAAGGACTTGCCCAAGAATACATGTCTGTTAGGGGGAAAGCAAGCCATTACTGCCTCTGTTCAGCAGCAGAAATAGGCTATGAATTATAAGCAGTTACTATTTTGTTTTAGCAGTTACTTTTTTTTTCTTTTAATCTTCACCCAAGGATATTTTTTCCATTGATTTTTAGAAAGGGAAGGAGGGAAAAACATCAGTGTGAGAGACACAGTAAATGGTTGCTTCCTGCACATGCCCCTGACGGTGGCCAGGGATGAAACCTGGCACAGGCTGACGCTCTAACCACTGTGAAACACTGGCCAGGGCTAGCAATTTTGACTTGTTCCTCAAACTTAAAGGTTAAGGGGCATATTTCTCAATGCAGACTAGGACTTGCAGCTCCAGTGATATCCACTTTATATAGCTTAGCCGTTTAATAGTGAAGGAAATTTTAGAAACCAAATGAACTGAGCTGTTTACTGCCCGCTGCTGGCTTTCCTGGGTTAGAAAATTCATGGTAGGGATAACTTCAGAGAGAGAGCTTGGAACAGGGTTAATAGAAACCTGCATAATTAACATATCTGTTACCAGAGCAGCTACAAGCATGATTTTCCTATCAGCAGGAAAATGTATTGAGTTGTGTGTCCAAAGCTGAGGTACCAGGTCCTTTGAAAACATGCACTCATGGCCTCTATAAGGACCTGACTCCTTAGTTGGGGAGGAAAGGAAAGCGATGCAGCTGGAAGTGACGAGATGATGTGGTGTTGGGAATAAGGCAGAATAAAGAGATTAAAGGCTGTTGGCCAAAGAGGCTGAAGGCTGGGGCCATGGATGCTCTCAGTGGAGCCAGAGGTGCTTGAGTTCTCAGTGGGCAGTGGGTGGGGGGGCTGCTCACCACTTTCAAGTCGGGGCCAGAGCTACCGATTTGTGATAGTTAACAGCACTGCATTCTTCAGCCACCAGCTAATGGGTTATTGTTATTATTATTATTTTTAAGAAAAAGTTCCTGGTTGCAATAATAATTCGTGTTTATTAAAGAAAATTTGGAAATTTTAAAAAGAATCGGTTTTCCACCCAAATGCTATCGCTATTAATCTTTTGGTGTTAAGTGTTCCTCTAGACATTTCTGTGTGTAGATTTTTGGTGTGTTTACATAGTTGTTATTCTACTGTATATACTATTTTATGTCTCTTTTGTACTTAACATAAACATTTTTCCATGTTATCTGTTCAACAGCATTTTATGGCTCTAGCTTCTTCCTTTGAGTTCTGGTAGCATTGTTTGTTTGGTTCCTAGAGTTGGAGGGTGAGATGGGTTATCTCCTGGCTCACAATGGGGTTTGCTGAAACACTGTGTGGATGGATTGTTGGGCTTCCTGGGACTGCCCTTGATTGCCCCTGGTGACTAAGCTATGGGCTGGTGGGAGGAACCCCTAAACCCAGTCCTCAAGCGAAGAGCAGCATGGGTCTCCTCAACCCCCAGCCTCTAATAAGCAACTGTATGGTCAGAAATGGCCAGCCTGAGCCAACCTTGATCTTCAAAGACTTACATCTGGCATGTACCTCAGGTTATTTTTCATCTTCACTGTTCCCTCATCCTTATTCCCTCTGGAATAAGATTTATCCTGCTAGGCCTTTGCTTTTGGGAGGCAAGGATAGTGGGGCCTCTTTTAGGCTCCTATGCCAGTTCGGGTAGACGTCCTTGCTTGGTAACCCACTGCCTGGCTGTGCGTTGGTAACTACTAGAGCCTGTATTCTAACTGCTCTATCCTTGGAGCTGCAAACACCTGCTGTGTGCCTTATTCCTGGCCCTCTCTGAACAGTCTTAGGCCCTCAGAGAAGACAGTCTTAGGCCCGTTACTTTGCCCATGGTCACTGGAGGTTGGTCAAGGGCTGTGAAAGGCAGCAGAAGGAACATCCCAGCTTATGCATAGGCTCTCCTGACAGATTGCTCTAGGAGGAAGAGACGTCTCAACCCAGTGGGAGGGCTGCTGCAGTCACTATCAGCTTGCTACTATGCCCACTCCCTTGGCTTCAGCCTTCGGTGTGAGGAGCAAGAGGATGAGTTGGCTCAGCTGTTGATTTGGGCGAGAGGCAGACACCGGATGCTGCCCACACTTTTGAGGTTGGGAAACTACTGAGGGAAGGGGAAGTAAAACTCCTGCAGGTTATTTGGGCACACTCCCGCACTTGCCAGCTGCCTAATTAGAGTCCTGGAGAGGCTGCCCAGGGCGGCTGGGGCCAACCAGTTTGTCAGGACACATGTAGGTCCGGAAGTACTGGACTATGGGAAATGACTGAAAAAAGAGAAATTTTGTAGTTTTCCTATCTTCCCTAAGAAAATTTAGGAAATGGAGTCTAAAATGAGTTAATGGGCCAGAAAGAGGGTCTGAGAGCCTCCTCAAGGAGTTAGTAAATACATAAATTTTACCATCAATTCTGGGGCCTTATTGGTCCTTGTCCTTCCTAGCTGCTGTTTATTGGTTGTGAATTGCCCGATAAAAACTCAACCTCAATTGTAAACTTAAATAGTGGATCAGGGAAGAGTCGAGTAAGTTTGAGGTCATGAAGGTGATTGCCTTATAATTGAACAAATACATTGAATGGCCAGATTATTATGATTTCTGAATGCATAATAATCTGGCCACTCAGTGTACTTTCCCAGCACCTGAGCCTTGGCAAATGCTAGATTGTAAAATAGTCTTGTGGGAAGGGTAAAAAATTAAGCTGCTCATCAAAATGCAAGCCTTGGAATTTCCATTAAAAACAAGTTAAAAGGGCAGCCCTTCTGGTACGTCAGGCCCAGAGCTCAGAGTTGGTGGTGGAGACCTTCTTTCTGTTCCCTGGGCAACAGGACTCTCACTGGGGCTCACCCCAAACTGGAAACTAGGGAGGCCATAGAGAAAAAGTGCTATATGCAAGCTTGCAAGATAGAATTAAGACTGTTTGGAAGGTGAAAGTGAAGGTACATTGTAATGCCAAGCTGTACAGGAATTCACGATTCACAGGGCTTTTCTGCACACAAACATTTAATCATGGGGAGGTAATGGGGAGCAACAAAAGAAAGGCATTATTGGGGCATCAGCCTGGGGTGGGGCTGGGGCCGGGAAGGAGCAATTGAGATGCTAGCCCAGAGGCAGGAGCAGTCATTGGAGGGAATTCCCCACTCGGCCTACTGGGACTCCTTGCCCTTTTTTGTTCTCCAACTGCCTGCCAAAGGGAGGAGCTTGGGAGCAGGGTTCTCAGCACTCTTCAGTTCTGACTGCCTGGTATAAATAAATCCCTTGGAATGGGTTGGAGTGGGGGGCAAGAGCCCTGGGTTGTCTGGGGGCAGGCAGGCAGGTGTGCTGTTGACAACAGCCACACTGCACCTGGCCTGAATGGTTCTGGGATGTGGTGTCTGAATCCTCAGTGGCCACTGCTCCCTTGGCTCTGGCTGTACAAGGGGATCACGAACACAGAGACGTCATCGTAGGACATCTGCCCTTCCGTTGTGGGACTGCCATCCTTCGCCTGTGTGCTGTGTATCAGCATTTTGGCCAGCTCCGAGAACCTGTGAGGATCATCCTGCAGATGTACTCCAGGGCCGAGCAAAGAGGCAAAGCCCGCCCTCGGGGAGAACTCACTGCACTGGGCTAGACACTTGGGAGACCAAGCAATGCAGTCCGACTTGCGGGCCTGGCAAGCTGCAAACTTGCGAGGCCCAGATTGAAGCCACAGACATCTCCACCCCTTGGAATCCTGAGACCACACCAATCCTGACCACCTGCTTTGAGCCAGGCTTGCCAGTGCTATCTTCCTAGCTGTAACTACTTGGTGTTGCGGCTGCACCCCAGCCCAGGCAGGCCCCCAGCAGTTACAGTACCTGTGTGGGTCCTCTCGATTGCCAGGGAGGAAGCTCCGCACTAGCTGTGCCACCTGCTCATTGGACAGGACATCCCAGAGCCCATCAGTTGCCATGACTACCACATCCTCCTCCTGCAGCTCCAACTGGTCCAAATCCAGCACTGTCACCTGCAAGTTAAGCCTGGGGATCCCTCAACTTTCCCCTCCTGACTCCCACCAGCCTCATTTTCTGGGTAGATGGAAGGAAGCTGGGGTGGACTGTTGCCCTCTCACCTGTGGGACAGAGAGCAAGAAGGGCTTGAGATGAATGTTTGTGTCCAGGACTCTGAGCTGATGGTCTCCCAGGCCCCGGGAGACGGCCAGTGTTCCCAGTAACCGAGCCTGGGGACAAGGGAGATATGAGGTGACAGCAAACAGCCCCAGCAAATACACAGTAAAGCATAGAGGTGGACTGTGGCCCTCAGGCACCCTGGGCTGAGGGAGAAACATCCTGTGGCCTTGGAACCGGCCCCAAGACACCAGCCACAAGCACAAAAGAACTGCCTCTGCAGTGAGCAATTAAGGGATTCTTGGAGGGGGCTGTTCACTGACCTGCCTACCCTGTCCGTGGATCAGTGGGTACTTGAGATCCGACTTCTCCACGCACTTGTAGCTCCTATCAGGAGCAGACCCAATATCAACCCAGACCCTCCTTCCCACCTCTCCCCTCAACATGGGGTCCACCCTGCCCAAGTGGGTGGGTGTTGCCCCAGGCTACAGAGCTGGGCTTGGACCCCATCGTTCTCCCCACTGGGTCTCCCCACCCCCATCCTGCTCACCAGCCATTCATGTAGTAATCCCTGAACAAAACTTTTTGCCCCAAGTCATCCCCCTTCAGACGCCGAGGGAACTCCAGTCGGGTGAACTCATCAGCCAGAAGCTCAGGGTAGACAAAGGCCTGGGGTAGGAAGGCCATGCTCCGATTAGGCTCTCCTTGGTGGCCCTGCACCCAAGAGATGGAGCTCCACAGCCTCCCTCTGCCAAGGGCGCCTACCAATTGCTGGATCCGTTGTCGCTCAGTCTCTGGGGTAAACTCAGAGCTCAGAGGCTGTACCTCATCTCTCCGTACCAAGATGGCTCTGGATGGGATTGGGGAGGAGAAAGAGAGGGCAGTGATGAAGCCTCCAACCTCTCCCATGCATCCTTCCTGCTGGCATCTCCTCCAACCACCAGGGGCCTGTTCGGCCCATGCCCCCTGTCCAAAGTCCTCTCTAACTGCCTGCAGGGTAAAGGCCCAGCCCCTTCACCCTGTGCGCGCTCTGGCATCCGCTGTCCACTCATACTCCATATAGGCCAGGTGTACAAATAGCTCAGCTAATCAAGCCTCCCCATTTCCTTCCCTCCACTTCCAGCCCCCTTTCATTGTCCTCACTGCTCTCTGCTGCCTGCCTGCCACCTGCCCCACTCGCCACCTCCCCCACTCTCCGAGCCCACTCACCTGCTATCTCCGGCGTTGGCCACATACAGCTTCCCCTTCAGTGACACAGCCACCAGGGCTGTGCAGCCACCCACTTGGCCTGAGGCCTCCAGCTCCCGCCGGATCACCTCATCCTGGGGCAAACAGGCCACGTTAGCTTGTGCTGCCACCGTATCACCCTGTCCCTAACGCTCCTCCTGCAGTTCACTTCCCCTCCAACCAGCCTGGCAGTCCTAGTTCAAAGTCTAGCTATGACTCCAGGACCCCGTGATCTGATCTGGATGTATTGCTGGGAGGGAGGGAAGTCCTACTCAAAAGAGTGAGGAAGGGAAACCAGCTCTGGCACCACGGAAACGACGGTGTGCAACGAGATGATGCAGGTAAGAGCACATAGCACAGAGTAGGCACTGGATCAATGGGAGGGGTGATGATGATGATGATGATGGCTGTCAGTAAGGAACAAACCACCCAACCTCGTCTTCCCAATTCAAACATCGAGGGTGACTACCACACCCTAAGGCCCCCGGGGACAAAACTGTCACTCCTTCCCCAGTCAAAAGCCACACTTACACATTCCTGGAAGGCGCTCTCCAGAGCCCCGATCACCAAGTCCTCTGTCCTAATGCCCTTTTCCTCAACAAACTGGGGGTCACTGGGGCAGACACAGCGGCCGCTGAGGTGCATGGGGGGCGGAGTGGCCACCATGCCCTCTCCTATGGCCTCCAGCTGCCGGCGCAGGCAGGAGTGCAGGGTGTTGGCAGCTAGGATGGCTGCAGCTGGACCGCCGTGCCCATCAAACAGTGCCCAGTAATGGCCGGTCAGGAACTGTCCAGGAAAGGGCTGGCGTCAGGTTCTTCCTGGCTTCCCCAGTCGATCCCCGGCCCAGTGTGGGGCACTAGGGCAGGAACTCCAGCCTGAAGTCCTGGCCCCCCGGCGGTAAGAGGGCTCAACCAGGTATGCTCACCTCCTCTGGGCACAAGGTCAGCCACTCCTGGTCCTCTTCAGGCCCAAACTCACACCTCCGGATGCTCAGCTTCCCACAGGCGGCCTGATCCTCATTGAACTCAGATTTCTCTGCATTGATGATCCTGAGGCCAGGAAGTGATCAGTGACCCTCCAGGGACACACCCATGTCCCTGTGGGCACAGATCAGAGCTGGTGCACAGGGAGGAGCCCTCCTTCTGGGCAGTAGCCCCCACGCTGTCCCTTGTGTCTGGACAAAGGTGGTGTAAGTATGTTAACCGTTCAGTAACCTAAGGCAAAACGCAGGGCCCAGCCCCCCTGAAGTCTGCCTGATGACCTGCCTGGGAGGTGACGCGAGGCTGCGGGGGAAATCTGGGGTTCCCTTGCTATTCCCTCCCCTTCTCTCTCCCTCCTCCCCCTGTCCCACACAGCATAGGCCAGAACCCAGGCTGAAAAGGTGTGTGTGTGTGTGTACCGGAGGAGGTATCTCCAAAGCTCAGAAAGCGAGCACTCCTCCCAGTCTCCCTGTCTCACGTTGGAAGCCCCAGGGGTGCAGGTCCTTCCCAACTTGCTACCTCCTTCTCTGAGGGAGGACGGAGTCCCAGAGAAAAGGCAGAGGTGAAGAAGGGGAAGGCTGTCCGAGCCCGGAGAGCGGGGCAAGAAGGGGCTCGCCACAGGTTGGGGAGGGGATCACTCACTCAGTGCAGCCCGTTCCCTGGCTCTGCACAGGCCCCAGCTGCACCGCAGGGGTCCGGGGTGAGGGGTCCGGAGTGAGGGGTGCCCGGGCCGCAGGAAGGGGAAGGGGAGGCTCGGGTGGGGCGGCAGGGGGTGGGCACTCACTCGGCGTAGCCCGCGTTCCAGGGCAGCGCGCGGCCGCGCGCGGGGCAGCGCACGGGCCGGGCGTCCGGGCGGCGCGGGCCGTCGGGGGCGGCGGGGCCGGAGGCCGAGCCGCGCAGGAAGCGGGGCCGCCGGTAGGGCACGGGGCTGGCACGCGGCCGGGGCGAGCGCGGGGCCGCGGGGAGCGGGCCGCCGGGGCCCCCGGGCAGGAAGCGGCGGCGGAACCAGCCCGCGGACATGGCGCGGCCGGGGCGGCCCGCGGAGCGAGCGCGGGGCCGGCGGGAAGCTGGGCGGACACCGCCCGGCCCGGAGGAGGAAGCGGCCCGGCGGGCTGGGCGGGGCGGGCGGGCGGGCGGTGACTCCCCCAAACCTCAGCCTCCAGCAGAGCCCGGGCGCCGCCTGCTGCCGTCGGGCTGGTCAAACCTCTTCACCTGGGAAGCCGTTCCCTACACCGTTTTCCAGGCCTGGAAAGTGCAATCTGGACGGCGGGCTGTCCACCCACGCGTGCGGGGTGGGCACTCGCCGTGGAGAGGGGGCGGCCCTCCTCCCCGCTGCAGGGGCCTCGCAGGGGTCCGAGCGGCCCGGACCTTGCGCAAAGGGAGGAGGGAACAGGTTGTCCCGGGTTGCTGGGCTGACACCGGGAGTCTCAGCACAGCGTTCCCCTCCGGTGGCCTCTCCTCCTGGCCGCTCAGCTCCGCACCCTCCACCCCAGGATGCACAGCCCTCACCCCGGGGACACTGCGCCCACCCTCGGACCGTCTCCCCAAGGGCCGCCCCTTCAATGTCTCCCCTCTGGACACGGAGCAGATCCTCGGTGCCGTGTGGGTGCCTGATGGACAGGAGGAATCCCTGTCCCAAAAGGCTCCGACTGGTCAGGTCAGCGTTCAGACCTGGGACTAAACCAGTGCGTGGTCGGCAAACTCATTAGCCCACAGAGCCAAATAGCAACAGGACAACGGTTGAAATTTCTTTGGAGAGCCACATTTTTTAAACGTAAGCTTCTTCTAACGCCATTTCTTCAAAGTAGACGCGCCCAGGCTGTGGTATTTTGTGGAAGAGCCACCATACTCAAGGGGCCAAAGAGCCACATGTGGCTCGCGAGCCCGCAGTTTGCCGACCACGGGACTGAACAAAGCGAGGGGCTTTCGGCTGGGCTGGAGGCAGGTGTTGCAGGCTCTGAGCCCCTGGCTGGAGGCAGGGTCCCCCTTCACATCTTGACTGTTAACGGAGTGCTTTGTCACGCCCTGTCACTTACACCTAACTCCCCGTGCAGGCCTGTTATTTCCATCTCATAAGGAGGACTGTGCGGCCCACACAGGGGAAGTGTCCTGCGCCCAGTGCTGTGAAGTTTCCATTATGACAATAGAGCTGACTCAAAACCCACCCCCCAGGGATTTCTCTTCCCCTTTCCTCCTCCCAGAAGGCAGGCTAGTCAACTCAGAGCCCCCGAGCCCAGGCCCCCAGGGAGGGCTGTAGGGGAAGTCCCTGTCTTTGCCTCTGCTCCCAAACCCATCCTATGCACATTAGGCCTCACTTCCTCCGGGTGGGCCAGCCTGCCCCGTTGTGAGTTCCCTTGGAAGATGTGCCCAACACCTCCCTCAGATGAATCAGTTCCAGAGAGCCTGTGGGCTAGTTTACTGAACCCACTGTGTGTGCCAGGCCCCACGCTGGGGCCGGGGGCACAGCACTGATGGATGTGAGCTCCCCAGCAGTGATGGTGGAAGTCCTGGTGGATGCCTCTGGATCCAGCTGGCAAGGGGGTGGAGCCAACGTCAGAGAAAGCTTCCCAAAGGACACCTGAGCTCTGACTTGTCCTTAGACAGAATTGGACCAGGCACCCAGAATAGGGCAGACTTAGTTCAGTACGTGGATTACCTCATCCCCACCAGCCAGTGGCTAAGAGGCTTGTAAAGTCTAGAATTCAAGGAAATAGCAAAAACACAGCCTATTCATCCAACCCACTGTCATGGCCTCTCTTTGATGGGACGAAGGTTCTGTTCTTTCTTTATTTTTATTTTTAAAAATATATTTTATTGATTTTTTTACAGAGAGGAAGGGAGAGGGATAGACAGTTAGAAACATCAATGAGAGAGAAACATCGATCAGCTACCTCCTGCACATCCCCTATTGGGGATGTGCCTGCAACCAAGGTACATGCCCTTGACTGGAATCGAACCCAGGACCTTTCAGTCCTCAGGCTGATGCTCTAGCCACTGAACCAAACCGGTTTCGGCTAGCTTCTTGTGGATCCTTCCAGAAATGTCAGGGGTATTCTGTGAAAATTCAAACAAAAAAAATATGACATTATATATAAGACAAGAAATAACAAGTGCTGGCAAGGATGAGGAGAAAAGGAAACTATTGTGTACTGTTGGTGGGAATGTAAATTGGTGAAGCCACTGTGAAAAACAGGATGGAAGGTCCTGGAAATATTAAGGGGATTAGAGAGATGGGAAAAAGTGGTTGGATTTGGGAGGGGCTGGAGAAGTTAAGTGACTTGACTGAAGCCACATAGTGACTGCTCAAATTTATATGAATTAAAATGACACAAAATTAACATTCCACTTTCTCAGCCACATCAGCCACTTTGAGTGCTTAATAGACACACATGGCTCCCGTGTTGGACAGGCAGATCAGAGACTATTTCCGTCGTCTCAGCATGTGCTGTGGGACAGCACTTCCTCAGAAACCAGGCCTCCTGACGTTCCTTGCCTACTGCACAGGCAGAGTCCCTGCTCAGCTTGGAGTCTCTGAGTGTTTGGGGACTGATGTCAGCAACTCTAGGTTGTGCTTGACCTGGAAGTGCTCCCCAACCTTTAAAAAAGTGTGGAGCCGAAACCGGTTTGGCTCAGTGGATGGCGTGTCAGCCTGCGGACTGAAAGGTCCCAGGTTTGATTCCGGTCAAGGGCATGTACCTTGGTTGCGGGCACATCCCCAGTAGGGGGTGTGGAAGAGGCAGCTGATCAATATTTCTCTCTCATGAATGTTTCTAGCTTTCTACCCCTCTCTCTTCCTCTCTGTAAAAACTCAATAAAATATATTAAAAAAAAAAAAAAGAGTGATGTCAGAGCAGTGCAATTATCCCTGCCCCTTTACTACAATACAAGGTAGTGACTGAGAGGTAGGAAGCCACGGTCACTAATGTGTCCTTGTGAACTTGACCACAGGGCCACCGGGGCTGCATGGAGACTCAGAGGGGCCACGTATGAACCCGTCTTCACATAGGACTTCCTGAAGCAATCAGGGATTTGTCCAGCTTCTGGAAATATCGGCCACAGCATGCACATTTCACGACTGGAATCGCTCGTTTCGGAATCAGATGTCAGAAGAAGAGTGAAGTTACCTTTGGTGAGTACATGCCATCTGTAACAAAACAAAATGGCGGTGGCAGCAACGACAGCTCAGTCTTCCATCTCAGAGGTTTATTAACTCGAGTCCCACTGGAATCAGTAGCAGGATCTGAGAGGGTAATAAAGGGGGCACATTCAGTGTGCTGCATGTTGCACACTTATTTGATCACTGGATATTTTTCCGTTTTTTAATCGATGAAATGTCTTGTAAAATTAGTTTTCTGAAAAAACACAGTTTGGGACATACCATGCTGGTGCAGACTCATCATTTTACAGGTTATGAGAAATGAGTTCCAAAGAGGGCAGCATGACTTTCTAAGGTCTTGTAGGAGGGTGGTTAGGCTGGGATTCAAACTTGTCGGAGGCCAGTGTGTGGCCCCTGCATCATTCACTTATTGGAGAGTTGGAAGTATCTGCATGTCAACCTTTCACAAGACACCTGAGTGAATGCTGTCCCTTCCAGGCAAACTATCCTACCTACATAATGAAAGCCTAATATGCTAAGTGTTTGACCATTTGACCAGTGGGTATGCTGTGCACTGACCACCAGAGGGAAGACGTTCTGACTGGTAGGTTAGCTTACTGCTTGGGTCCAGCTGATGGGGACTGGGCGAGATGGGTCAGACACGCCCTGTGACCTGCTCCTGAGAGCTCAGTACTGTCTGATGTACTGATAGCCAGAGAAAGCAGCTTCACTGATAGGACCCCCAATGACTTCCTGTGGTGCTAACAAAGCCTTTTTTTTTTTTTTTTTTTTTTTAAATGATGGTTGTTGTTCTAATTCTTTAATAGTTTAATTTTTTTTTTTTGTTGTGGAATCCATTGGGGTGACATTGGTTAATGAAATTATATAGCTTTCAAGTGTACAATTCCATAATACATCATCTGTATATTGTATTGTGTATTCCCCATTCCAAGTGAAGTCTCTGTCCATCACCATTTATCACCCCTTTATCCTCTTCTCCCTCCCCCACTTCCTCTCTGGTAATCACTACTGTTGTCTATGTCTAAGAGGTTTATGTGTGGTTTGTGTGTTTATGTGTTTTTTGTTCAATCCCTTCACCACGCCCACTGATTCCCCTCTCTCTTATGACAGCTATCAGTCTGCTCTTTGTATCTATGAATCTGTTTCTATTTTGTTTGTTTATTTTGTTCATTAGATTCCACATGTAAGTGAAATCATGTGGTATTTGTCTGTCTCTGATTGGCTTATTTCACTTAGTATAATACTGTCAAAGTCCATCAATGCTATCGAAAAAGGTAAGATTCCTTGCCTTTCTGTGGCCAAGTAGTATTCCATGTGTAAATGTCCTACAGCTTTTTAATCCACTCATCTACTGACAGGCACTTCGGCTGCTTCCAAATCTTGGCTATTGTAAATAAAGCTGCAATGAAAAGGGGGTGCATATATCCGTTTGAATTAGTGTTTCAGGTTTCCTTAGATAAATTCTCAGAAGTGGAAAATCCTGTGTCATAATACATTTCCATTTTTAACTTCATGAAGAAACTCCATACTGTTCTCCACAGTGGCTGCACCAAACTGCATTCCCACCAGCAGTGCACGAGGTTCCCTTTTCTGCATCTCCTCACCGACACTTACTGTTTGTTGATTTATTGATGATAGTCATTCTGACAGGTGTGAGGTGCTATCTCATTGTGGTTTTAAATTACATCTCTCTGATGATCAGTGACTGTTGAGCATCTTTTCATATGTCTAGTGGCTATCTGTATGTCCTCTTTGGAGAAGTATCTATTCAAGTACTTTGCTCATTTTTTAGTTGGATTGTTTGCTCTTTTGGTGTTAAGTTGTATAAGTTCTTTACAAATTTTGGACATTAACTCCTTACCAGATATATCATTGGCAAATATATTCTCCATTCAGTGGGTTG